TCAATATTGCTTCCTCAACTTTTCCACCTAAGGATGCCTCTTCAGTCAAAGTTTTGACCGCCAAATAAAAGTGATCTATCTAGCATCCTTCGACTGAAATCTCCACTATTTATTCTCTCTCCTTAACCTTCTTCCCTTCCCCCAAACCAGTCCATATCTACCAAAGCAAGCTCAGACTGAGGAAAGGGGTCTGGAAAATAAGCTGGTGATCTCAAAGAAGCTCCCGGTTGGATGTCCAACCAGTTAAAAAAATTGATCCGATAGTCCCTCCTGAACAATACCTGGTCCTCATCCTCCCCTCGCCAAATTACCTCTCCCAATTTCTCCCTTGACGCAGCCCCTAGCCATTCCAATCCAAATTCAAAAATACTTTGCTTAATGTCCTCTTTTTTTTTAATTGTAAAAGTTTGTTTTTCCACCTTTCCCATTGATCTCTGATTTCTGTCTGAATAAATTGTTGGATTACCTCTGTCATTTCTTTTCCTTCCATCCTTACTTTCTCAATTGTTAATACACATCTTTTATGCCATAAAGCCCATAAAACTGCTTTTCTGCCTAATTGAAATAAATTTTGTTGAAATAGTGATAATTCGATTAATACCAGATTCCAGTATCCCAACAAAATTGTTCTCCAATCCCATGGCCATTCTAGACCCGTAATCCTATTCCACACATAGTCCCACCGTTGCCATGTCAGAACAGAGCTCGGACATTGCAAGAAGATATGTTCTATTGTTTCTCTTAATTTCCTACTAGGAAAAGTCTGGACACAGGAGATACACCAAGGTAATGCTACACCTTCTTGTTCCAATGAATAATGATCTATTAACCAATCATTTGTTGGTAAACACCTATGTATTATCTGCCATTGTAAGGATGCAAACTTGGTAGGCCTTTCCTTTAAATTTTGAAACCATCTTATTTGCTTAATCAACTCCGCATTTATGTTAAGATGCTTGCACCACCGTTCTCTTATAATATCAGGCACTTCTATTTTAGGACGCAGTAATCGATAAGATGCTTTAACTGACAAGGACTGTAATCTTAGGGGTTTACTCYTYTTGYTCATCCGCCAGACCCATTCGTCCGGATCTAGTGGTAGATCCGGAATAGGAATATGTGG